AAGTCGTTCTTGAAAATTAGTTAAGAGTGCTTGATAAAGCACTTCCACTTGTATCTTTTGAATTGATGTGATAACTTTTGTTGGCTTGTATTTTTTTGAGTCTTGCTTTGTTGTCCAGGCTAGAGTACAATGGTGAACCTCAGCTCACTGCAGCCTCCACCTCCTGGGCTCAAGTGGTCCTCCCACCTCAACCTCCTCAGTAGCTGGGACTACAGGCCCGCGCCAACATGCCCGGCTAAGTTTTGTATTTTTTATAGAGAGAGGATTTTGCCAGTGCTGCCCAGGCTTGTCTCAAACTCCTGGGATCAAGCAGTCTGCCTGCCTCAGCCTCCCAAAGTGCTGGAATTAGGTGTATGAGTCACCATTCCTGGGCCTGTTGGCTATTTTATAATTATCTTATTTGGTAGACTCTGATCTTTTACAATTGAACTTAATTCAACTCTTTTGCAATGTTTACAAAGATTAGACTTAGAATTAAAAGATAAATGATTTTATAGCTGACCTTGATATTTCTGTTTTTCACTTACCTTGGCAGTAATCTGTACTTCCTATAAAACAAATATTCTTTCATAAAGTGACAATGGATATGTATTATAGAGACAGAATAAAAATTATCCATAATTCTGCCACTCTGTATGTATCTTTTACATAGTTGAAATAATAATGTAATATATTACATTTTGGTGGAGGTGATACATAATTTTAGAAATACTATAAAGTAATACTTGTTTACTGTTTGAAGTTAAGGAAATATTAGAAATTATCAAAAGATAGGAATAAAACTTACCTATAACCTTATTATCCAGAGATAACCATAGATCTTACTTGATAAAACAGTATATACAGTTTTGTATTTTGTTTCTTCCCCGTCCCCCATAATATTTATATGTCAGGGCAATTAAAATTATCATTAAAAATTTACTGTAAATGATTTTTAACGGCAACCTAATTTATTGTATGCATGTACTATTATTTACTTAATATAAATGCCTAATAATAGTGAAATGATAACCTATTCGCTTAGCTCTGTGATAAATACCTTTGTGGTTAAATCTGTATTCTAGATTATATCTTTTTGTTTGTTTGTTTTTTGAGATGGAGTCTCGCTCTGTCACCCAGGCTGGAGTGCAGCCATCTCGACTCACTGCAAGCTCCGCTTCCCAGGTTCACACCATTCTCCTGCCTCAGCCTCCTGAGTAGCTGGGACTACAGGCGCCTGCACCACACCCCGCTAATTTTTCTTTTGTATTTTTAGTAGAGATGGGGTTTCACTGTGTTAGCCGGGGTAGTCTTCATCTCCTGACCTTGTGATCCACCCTCCTCGGCCTCCCAAAGTGTTGGGATTACAGGAGTGAGCCACCGCGCCTGGCTTAGATTATTTCTTTAAAGTAAATTTTCAAAAGTGGAATTAATTGGGCCAAAAGGTACAGATTTTTTTTCCCCACAAATGTAGCTAAACTGCTTTCTATCTAACAGTGTTCTACCAATTTGTATTTAGTGTAGCTTCACTCTGACACATTCATATTTTTTTCTGGATAGTTTGCAGAGGGAAAATCTTGATAAACATTCAGTTTGGTAAAGATGATGCACAGTAGTTTTCAGATTTTTTTCTTTCTTTTTTTTTCTTTTTTTTTGAGACAAGATTCTTGCTCTGTTACCCAGGCTGGAGTGCAGTGGCACAGTCTTGGCTCACTGCAACCTCCACCTCCCAGGCATAAGCAATTCTCCTACCTCAACCTCTGGAGTAGCTGGGATTAGAGGTGCACGCCACCATACCTGGCTAATTTTTTGTAGAGACAGGGTTTTGTCATGTTGCCCACGCTGGTCTGGAACTCCTGAGCTTCCGTGATCCACCTACTTTGGACTCCCAAAGTGCTGGGATTATAGGCCTGAGCTGTCTCACCTGGCTGGATAAATTTTTAATATGTATTTTATTCTTAACATTTATACTTGCATACAAAAAACCCTAGCAATTTGTCTCAAATTTCATCATAGGATCAAAAGAAAATGTTTTATATGACTCATAAATTATCCTGAAGAACCAGATAATGATACCCTGGCTTACTGTTAATTTTCTAATCTGTTACACTATTAAACTAAGAGACAGTAACATCTTCATAGCTGAAAATTCTATTTCAGATTTTTGATTCAGTTTGAATTTACATGTTTGTATTTTTAGAACTAGTTTATTATTTTTTTGGTTAGGTGATGAATCAAGATTGGTTCTCTAAGTTATTTTAATATGGTAAACTTTGAAATTGCTTTGGGCAAGAGAGATATTTATTGAGAAATTCAAATAAAATGAGGTATGTGGTCTTTTTTAGTGATTAATTTTTTTATTGTGGCAAAAATATAAAATTTATCATCTGAACCGTTTTTAAGTGTACAGCTCAGTAATGTTAAAAGCATATTTAGGTCATTATGAACAGATCTCCAGAATTTTAGCCTCCTGAAAAGATCCAGAGACCCCTGGAGCCTTTCCTACTATATTTTGAAGAACCTCTATCTTAGAGAATATATTACTTCATCTGGAGAAAACAAAGACTCAAAGAGAACTCTGGAAATATAGTCTTTTAAAAAATATCATCTAAAAGATTAATAATTCTTTTTATCATCTTATCCGGTCTGTGTTCATATTTCCCCATTGTCTAATAATGTTTTCATAATTTTTTGAAATTAAGAACCAAACAAGGTTCACACACATTACATTTGGTGGTTGATATGCCTTTTATTTATTTTTTATTTTTATTAATTTATTTTTCTGAGATGGAGTCATGCTCTGTTACCCAGGCGGGAGTGTAGTGCATGATCTCAGCTCACTGCAACCTCTGCCTCCCCAGTTCAAGTGATTCTCCTGCCTTAGCCTCCCGAGTAGCTAGGATTACAGGTGCGTGCCACCATGCCTGGCTAATTTTTTATAATTTTGGTAGAGACAGGGTTTCACCATGTTGGCCAGGCTGATCTTGAACTCCTGACCTCAGGTGACCTGCCTGCCTCGGCCTCCCAAAGTGTTGGGATTACAGGCGTGAACCACCCGGCCCAGACTTGATATGCTTTTAAATTTTAATCTAGGTTGTCTCTTCCTTTTCTTCCTTTATAATTTATTTGTTGAAGAAACAGGGTCATTTGTTCTACATAATTTTCCTCATTCTGGTTTTGGCTGAGTGTATCTCTGGTAAAATTTAACATGTTTTTCAGTTCTCTGTATTTCCAGTACATTTACAGGTAGAGACAGACTTGATTAGATTTACTTTCAATTCTTTTTTGGCAAGATTCCTAGTTGGTGATGTGTATTTCTTTACATCAAAAAGATATGTTTTGTGATGTTAAAATCAAACAGTTTAGGTTTTGTCAGCTTGATTCATCCGTTACAAAATTCCCATTTAACTTTAATAATAGCATCTATTGCTAATTGTTGCCTCATTGCAGTATATTAGTAGGTGTTGTAAAAGGTGATATTCCTTCTCCAGCCTTCTAGATTTATTGGCTGAGATTCTTCAGGAACGAAGACCTCTTCTTCATATACCACTTTATTACCCTGAAAGTATTTATACAGGAAAGGCCAAAATAAAATGGGACTTTTTTTTCTTTTCACCTACACATTCCCAGAATAATTTGTGCTTTAGGAGCCTCAAAACATGACTAGAGGTTTGTTGTTGTTGTTGTTTTTAGTATTATAAGCTCATGGATTTTTGCCTCCCATTCATTTTCGATGTTCAAATTCTTTGTTTGACCAGTGGCAGCTTTATTTATGTTGGCTCTTGTGTCCTTGGCACAATCTCAGTGGTCTGTAATAGTTTCCTAAAATATACAAGATGAAGCTCATTTTGTATATTTTCTTCCCCAGATTTAGAATCAGAATTCTAATTCCTTTCAGTGGGAAATGGTATTTAGAGATTATAATCTGGGTGATATTTTTGTATATTCCTACAAGGTTCTCATTGTTTATAGGCGTTTTGGTGGACAGAACTAGGAAAACTTTACAGAAAGAGAAAAATAATTCATGTTTCCAGATGCTAGTTCTAACTCAGATAAAAGATGGTAAGAGTTTTTACTTCATTTTAAAATTTACATTTGTATTTTTCCTCAACATGGAAAATGTGGTTCTAACAATAAGAGTATTGAATTACAAAATCTGAGGGAGGAACTATTCTATTATATTAGAAGATTGGAGGGTTACAAATACAAATGCCTAAAGGTACCAGACAGCCAAATGAATGTATCAGGCCTGTTCTGAAAATCATCTGGGAATGGTGGGGGTTAATAAGCTGGAGAGCATATATCCCATCTAAAGGAGGCATCTGTGACTTGACTCTAGCTGATTTTTGCCAAGAGGGAATATGGGCACGGTACTGCTTGGTTTTTTTCATTTTTAAAAAGAAGATGTAATCCCAGCACTTTGGGAGGCCGAGGCGGGCGGATCATGAGGTCAGGAGATCAAGACCATCCTTGCCAACACGGTGAAACCCCATCTCTACTAAAAATACAAAAAATTAGTCGGGCTGGCATGCGCCTGTAGTCCCAGCTGCTCGGGAGACTGAGGCAGGAAAACTGCTTGAACCCAGTAGGTGGAGGTTGCAGTGAGCTGAGATTGTGCCACTGCACTCCAGCCTGGGAGACAGAGCAAGACTCCCTCTCAAAAAAAGAAAAAGAAAAAGAAGATGTAAATCCAAATATTTTATGTGAAATTATTTAGCTTTTAAATACTGACAATAATACTGACAAACTAAGTCAAAGTTTTAAAAAGGCCTTTTGGACCAAACAAGGATTTCTTCCATAGGTTATTAGTTTGTAACCTCTTGTGAGAAAGATCTAAGGATTTTTCCAGACCTCAGACAATCTGAAAAATATATTGGGAAAGAGTATGAGAAAGGGAACTTAATCATCTTGGTTTTGCTAATCATGATTGCATTTATTTACCTGACTTTTCTTTTTTAGCCTTAAAAAATTAAAATAGCCCTATAATTAATTTTGCTTTTCTTTTTGCACATTCAAAATAGGAACTTACAACGTCTCAGAAAAATGGTGGGAATGTTCTTCAGATGATGTATGAGAAACCTGAACGATGGTCTTTTACCTTCCAAACATATGCCTGTCTCAGTCGAATAAGAGCTCAGCTTGCCTCTCTCAATGGCAAGCTCAAAGATGCAGAGAAACCTGTATTACTTTTTGAACGATCTGTGTATAGTGACAGGTATGTATAAATGGCTTATACGTGGCCATTTGAAGTTTTTATCTTAGAACTGGACTTTTTCTTTTTCTTTTCTTTTCTTTCTTTTTTTTTTTTTTTTTTAATGTTTCCTGGGAATTAGTAATATGAATGGCTGAGTTGGGGATTTAAGATGGAAAATGATATTTAAATCCCTCAGCAGTCTGGTACTAATGGCATTAGGGAAGTTATTGCATTTATTAATCCCCAGCTTCCATAGAAACTGTTGGGATTATGGTGGTGCCTATCTCATTTAAATTTGCAGAGAAGTTGTTTTTCCCTCTAACCTTTTTAAAATTCTCATCTGCTCTGGTTAAATCTGGATCTATATCCTAGACTCTTATCTGGAGCAAGTAGATAAAAGTCTCTAAGGGGCCTTAGAATTGCCCTACTTATGCTAGGATTCTTTTGACCTCCAAAGTTAGCTCAGAACAGAGGTTCTCAGACTTTTTGATCTCAGGACCCTTTTCAGTTCTTAATAACTATCGAGGCATCCAAAGAGCTTGTCCTATTGATACTTGCATTACTAGAAACTGAGATGCACAAAAATGATTTAAAACTAGCAATAATAAATTCATTACATATTAATATAAATACACTTCACAAAAAGTTATATTTTCTAAAATAAAAAGTAGCTAGAAAAGTATCATTGCTTTACATTTTTGCAGATACCTTTAATGCCTCACTTATTAAAAGAGCTGGATTTTTATTTATGCTTCTGTATTTAATCTGTTATGATATGTCTGTTTGTTTGAAGTATATTGGTATATGAAGTAATCTGGCCTCTCACAGAACCCCTTAGAATATCTTGGGGACTCATGGGGTCCTCACTCCATATTTTGAGAACCATTGGCCAAAAACATGATGGAAAGACTCCTGTCTTTTTCTGCTTTCCATGGCACTATGTGCCACTGGATTTAGGAGAATGTTTCATGTTCGTGTTTTCTTTTTTATTTCTTTGTTTTTTTTTTTTTTGAAATGATACATGTGTTGATGAAGACTCTCTTTTAGGTATATTTTTGCATCTAATTTGTATGAATCTGAATGCATGAATGAAACAGAGTGGACAATTTATCAAGACTGGCATGACTGGATGAATAACCAATTTGGCCAAAGCCTTGAATTGGACGGAATCATTTATCTTCGAGCCACTCCAGAGGTAAAACCCAATGAAAATGTATTGCATTGAAAATTTAAATAAATATTTAGAACTCTTTTTTTTTTTTTTTTTTTTTGAGACGGAGTCTGGCTCTGTCGCCCGGGCTGGAGTGCAGTGGCCGGATCTCAGCTCACTGCAAGCTCCGCCCCCTGGGTTTACGCCATTCTCCTGCCTCAGCCTCCCGAGTAGCTGGGACTACAGGCGCCCGCCGCCTCGCCCGGCTAGTTTTTTTTTTTTTTTAGTAGAGACGGGGTTTCACCGTGTTCACCAGGATGGTCTCGATCTCCTGACCTCGTGATCCGCCCGTCTCGGCCTCCCAAAGTGCTGGGATTACAGGCTTGAGCCACCGCGCCCGGCCTAGAACTCTTTTTAGTGGTATGTAATCAGGGCAATTTAGTTTAACTCCAGCCTCCCAACCTCCCACTCCCCACCTCTAAATTAGAAACTTGTAACTGTGTAGATAGGAGCATTCTTTTTTCTCAGCAAATTGGAATCCCAGCCTGGGCAAGTTGCTTTTTTAGGCTCTTTGTGCTTCCTCAATCCTTTTTTATTTTACTCATTATTTCTTCCCAACTTTTGCAGATTCTTCTCATTCATCACAGTTAAAGTAATGAATGTGGTCAAGCAACTCCTAGAATATAGGCTTCCTGAGGCGGGACCTTGGGTATTTTGATTACTGTTGAATTTCCAGTGCCTAGAACACCCAGTGGTCGGCACTGTTGGAGCATATAGTAGGAGCTCAGTAATTATTTATTGAATGAATGGCGATGCTGATGGAGGTCCATTTCAAGAAATCTTTTATTATGGTTGTTTGTGCCTTGGAAATGAGTCGATAATGGCAACTATAGTTGGGAAAAGACTTAGAGGACCCTTGCCATTTTCCATTAAGGGAGCTCACTTGAAAAGGTGCTTTTTGTGATAGGTTATGACATAGCTATTCTATTTACATATGATGTTATATAATGAATACAGGAAGACCAAATAGATGCCTTTCATAAAACTAACCTAAATATTAAGATCTTACATTTAATCAGAAGCTTTCTGGTTTTGGTGCTTGCATTTCTATTGTTTCTGTTTTTTAATTCTCATTTTTTCCTTAAGTCACAGGGTAGGCACTGATGAATGTAAATGTCATAACTTCTGGCCTAAAATTAGAATACTGTGTTGTTGTCAAAGCTGGGTTTTCAAAGAAATTAGGTTTCTGATTCCAACGGATGATTTTGTTCTCCATTAAGTAAAGATTTTGTTCTTCATTAAGTAAGCGAGGATTTAGCAATTCTTTAGCAATTTCAAAAGTTAATTTTGAAATTCACTTTTATTTTTGAAATTTTTTTTGTTCTTAATTACAAAAATAGTAAATAAAAATGTGAAAAAGAGCATAAGGAATACTAATAATTTCATTTTGCTTGAAACATTTATAGTCACTATTAAGCTAGAATTTAGCAATTATAATAATTTTGAAATTCTTTTATTTTTGAAAAGGTTTCTTAAAGTTATGAAAATAGTACAAACACCAAAAAACAAAGAATACTAATAATTTCATTTTAATACTGATAATTTCATCAGTATTGTTTCTGATATCTTTTGATGAAAGGATTAATTGTTGAAAAGAGAATTTAGAGTTTGAAACACAGTTTGTATGCTGCGATGGTCTTATGCATGTCATTTAGGTTGGAGGCTTTTATTTCTTGGAATGCATGAAGGGTTTCTCAGGGTCTATAAGCCCCCACAAATTATACAAAATTTTTTATGTATGTGTGCTTTTGGGGGAACATAATCTAGAGCTGCACTGTCCAATGTGGCTATTTAAATTTAGGGTTATGAAAATTTAGAAATTTAGTTCCTTGGTCATCACACTAGCCGTATTTCAAGTGCTTAAAAACCACAGGTAGCTAGTGGCTACCTTATTTGATAATGCAGATATAGGACAGGCATAAATCATTCCAAAGTTGTTTTGGTTGTGCTGGTATAGAGTTTTCATCACATTAAGAACCATGCCTTTAGTGGTTTTATGTGAACTGAACATAGATATTTTATAGTCAAGTTTGGTTAACAGCAAAGTAAGATTGTGTTTATAGATTGGCATACCTTTTAGCTGTTGTCTCTGAACATTTTAAGTAGATGTTTAGTTTTTTTCTCCTTTTTATCAAACTCAGTGTATTTCATGTGTGGATACCAAAAATTTATAGACTTATTTTAACTTATTTTTAAAGTACCACTTGGCTTAGAGCCACCAAGTGGCTGAAAATCTCATGGAGGGAAAAATGAATTATTTCAACTTTTAAGAAGTAATAAGTAGAGATTTTGGCTAGCATGAGTAGAGAGACACAGAAAAGAAAATTTTGATGGCAGCAGACAAGAATAATTGTTCACTGCCTTTTTCTTCCATCTCTTATTGCTTTTAGAAATGCTTACATAGAATATATTTACGGGGAAGAAATGAAGAGCAAGGCATTCCTCTTGAATATTTAGAGAAGCTTCATTATAAACACGAAAGCTGGCTCCTGCATAGGACACTGAAGTAAGACTTCTTTATTTTTATTTACTATTCATTTTAAATACCTTTGTTAAATTTTAATCTAAAATTTGGAAGATATGACTAGCAACATGTAAAATTTTCAGTCATTTTGCTTATTGGTATCTTTCAGAACTAGGTATAGATTTTGATTCTGTTGATTGCAATGAGATCCTATTTCCTTAAAGTTTTTGTAACTAGTATCCCTTGGTGGTATTGATAGTATAATATATGAAATTTCACTTTAAGTGATAAAGTAGGAAATATATCTGTACATTATTTAGTTACTCTTTCAGAAAGAATTTTGACTTGGGACATTGTATAGCATGGTTGTTGAGAGGATAGACTTTGTTATTAGTCAGATCTTGGCTCAAGTCCAGTCTTACTTATTGGTGTGTGACCTTGGATAGTCTCTGAGCTTCAGAATGACAATTCTGAACTTTAGTTTTCTCATCTTTAAAATGCAGAAATTCCTCCTTTATTATCTGTTTTTCGATTTTGAAGAGAATCATATGTTACAGTACCCAGCTTTATATATTTGTACCCGAGTTTTTTGGCTCCATGTGGTAAATCTAAATGAGAAAGAAGGGGCTGCCAGATGAAGTATTGCAAAGTAACTTTAGTGTAAATGATTGACAACATTTTGATTTTCCGAGGACATACGAATGAATTTTTAATGTTTCTCTCTCTTTTTTTTTTACATTTCTGATTATTTTATTAATCTCTCTTTTTAAACAGAACCGACTTCGATTATCTTCAAGAGGTGCCTATCTTAATACTGGATGTTAATGAAGACTTTAAAGACAAACATGAAAGTCTGGTTGAAAAGGTAGATTTAGACAGACTACAAACAAATATTTGTTTTTTCTAAAAAAGTGTACTGACTTGTGAGAAAACAATTTTCTAACAGAAAACGTTCCATAAAGTTACATTAAGAAACAGTTAAGAGCTTTAGAAGATTTTGGACTGTTTAGATTCCAGTCCTGACTAAATTCTAGCTTTGTGGCCTGAGTTAAAATAAGGATCTTTCGGAATCTCAGAATCTGACAGATATTTTAGAAAAAAGTTAAATAAATAAAAATAAAACAAGGATTGTTTTTTAATCCTTCAGTGCCTCTATCTGTAGGATAGGGATAATCATAATAACAAAAGTTCTTTCTCACCCCCTTTTTCTCTGCTTTGTCCCCATTTCTTCCTCTCTTCCCTACACCACCAATCTTTAGATACTTTAATAATAAACTGCTTGTGAAGTTAAATTTATCTTTTTCAACTAAATTCAATATGGAGGATATTTAAAGTTGTAGGATATGGATCTCATCCATTTTTACGTTGGCTAAAGTCTTGAGATTGAGGGTTTTAGTTTTCAGTTTCATTTGGGATCATGTCAAGGATTAATTGACATTGCGTAATCATTGAGTCATTGTCTTAATCACAGTGTATTTATCGCTCAAATCACTGGGAGTTGACCATATTCTGTTAAGTGAGTGGTGCCCCTTGATAAAGGGACTGGGCGAGAATTTATTGATGAAGATTTGAGAGAGAATAGTAAGGGAATTTGTATAACAAATATCCCTATACCCATGTTGATAACTCAGTGATTAAGCTATAAAGAAGAAACCACAATTTGGTTTAGTTTTGAGAGAAATTTGATTTTTCCTTTCTTTTGTGACATAATCTCTACTGTTTAATAGAGACTTGACATTCATAAGGGATATAATAAGGATTTTGAAAATCTTGACTTTTTATATAACTACCGTAGCGTATACATGTAGTTGTTTTTCCCATGATATGAACTAAGGCTTATCTGGAAAATTCCAGTGACCTCTTCATACTATTAATGATGTTAAAAATATAGGATAAATTAACTTATAATACTATTAAATGAAATTAAGTCAGCATTAAGTATTAACAGCCAACCATCAATTTAACTGACTTTGTAAATCACTTTTTAATTTTATCTAACACTTCTTTGTTTTGACTAAGAATCATTTCACGTTATTATATTTACTTTTATTAATAATGTTAGCAGTTGACTTTCTTTTTAAGGTATTTTTACAAGACAATAATCTTTGTCTCCTGAGAATTATTGAGTAGCCTAGAATATGTGGAGAACAAGCATATTCTTACATTATGGTCAATTGGCTAGGTTCATTGACTCCTTATATGATTTTCCCCACACACTGACATTGCAGAGTATGATTCACATATGTGCTTCAGAAACATGACAAATCTACTACATGTTTGATCTTCAGAGTTGCTTGAACTTTTGTGCTTATTAATGTTATCAGTGTTAAAGCTGCATATGTCAATGGTCTATGATATTAAACAAAGAGATTATAAAATTGGTGTTACAGCTATTTTACAACTGTATCTAAAATTGATAGATGCAGTGGCTCACACCTATAATCCCAGCACTTTGGGAGGCTGAGGTGGGAAGACTGCTTGAGCCCAGGAGTTCCTGACCAGCCTGGGCAACATAGTGAGACCTCATCTCTATAAAAAAACAAACAAAAACTAGCCAGACATGATGGTGTGCACCTAGCCAGGAGTTCAAGGCTGCAGTGAGCTTTGATTGCATCACTGTACTCAGCCTGGGCGACAGAGCAGTAAGTAACTCCTAAAATGACCTTTTAGGTCATTCATCTTTTACTACTGAAGTATTTAACAATATTTCTTTCTTTTCTTTCTTTTTTTTTTTTTTTTGAGACAGTCTTGCTGCGTCGCCTGGGCTGGAGTGCAGTGGCATAATCTTGGCTCACTGCCATCTCCTTCTCCCAGGTTTAACCAATTCTGCCTCAGACTCCCAAGTAGGTGGGATATCAAGTGCACGCTCCATGCCTAGCTAATTTTTGTGTTTTTAGTAGAGATGGGGGGTTTCACCATGTTGGCCAGTCTGGTCTGAAACTCCTGACCTTAAGTGATCCACCCACCTCGGCCTCCCAAAGCGCTGGGATTACAGGCATGAGCCACTGGGCCCGGCCTTAACAATATTTCTCTGGAAAGTAAATGCAATGGCTTTGTGATAGTTACTTATACGGCTGGGGTCTTCAACTATTATATATTTTTAAATGAAGAGGAATATCAGATACCTCAAATTAGTCAAGGAATTATACTGATTTTTTTTTCTTCCTTTCCTCAGGTCAAAGAATTTTTGAGTACTTTGTGATCTTGCTGAAGACTACAGGCAGCCAAATGGTTTCAGATGCTTCAGCTTTGTGTATCTTCGTAGCTTCATATTAATACAAGTTTCTTTAGAAAACTCAAGTTTTTAACCATTTTTGTTCTAAGGAAAAAAAAAGATTTTTAAACGAATCTTATGTGAAACTTTTTGACCAGTTTTCTTTTCTTTTCTTCTTTTCTTTTTTTTTTTAAAAAGACATTTAAAGACAAAGACATTATTTCTCATAGCAGGAATTGTAGAGGTAGATGGTTCCAGAATCAGTATAGTGGCTAAACTACATTAGAAAAGATCCAGCTTCCGTCTTTCCCCTCTTTTTTCTTCCTCAGCAGGTTGGCTTTTTCCCCTGGTGCCTCTCACCTCATTGGTGACCAGTTTCTTAACTGAACGCTTTAAAGTTACATAGTAAATGGTAGTGTGTCCTGTGTAAATTAGTATACCTATTAAAAGTTGCAAAGTAGAATTAAAGGAATTCCTAGAATAAGGATTCTAAAGTTTTATTTTAAATGATTATCCTCTTAACAGTTTAGTCCTACCTCTTACTTCCTGCCTCAGTCTGCTTTCTCTACTGTCTGGATTAATTAGGCAGCCTGCTATAAAGTTAAAGTCACACATTTCTATTTTGCAAACATTGTGATTACTCTTTGCTTTGTACTTTGCTTTGCTTTGTAGGCTTCTGCTTTAAGTTTTTCTCTTTTTCAGACAAATTACTGATAAAAATGATATTACTGTATATGTAATATATCCTGAAAGCATTATTTTTTGTTGAATAGAAAATAAAATTAATGAAGACAGAGGCTAGAAAGCATCCATTAGTTAATGAGACACACTTAATTACTTATCTCTAAACCATCTATGTGAATATTTGTAAAAATAATGCATGAATTCATCTTAGTTCTGTATATAAATATATTTTCTTTCTAGTTTGTTTAGTTAAGGTATGCAATGTTTTTCCTGTGTATTAAACCTTTCCATTTTGCATTTTAGAAAATTTTATGTATTTTAAAATAAGGGGAAGAGTAACTTTCATTTTGAAACTATTATTTTTCTTTCCAAAGTGTCATTTTTGTTTTTGGTTTCTTATTCGAAGATGATAATTTATTGGATTAACCAGTCCAGATGCACTGATCTTTGCAAAGGGGACTTAATTTCAAATCTGTAATTACCATATATAAACTGTCTCATTATACATACACTTTTTTTTGGTTTGTTTTGGTTTGGTATAAATGAATTCGTTTACTTAATTAAATATTTCTTAACTATAAACCTCATGAACTACAGCAGAGCTACACTCATTGAAATGTAATTTCAATTCTAAAAAGATGTAACAATCTTTTTAGAGTTAAAATTTATTCTACTTTTAAATAAAAAATTATGAATATTAAAGGTGAAAATTATATAAATTACTTTGATTCCATTTTAAGTGGAGACATAGTTCAGTAATTTTTAGTAACCTTTAAAAATGTATAATGACTTTTAAAATTTGTAGAATTGAAAAGATGCTAATAAAAATTCATTACTTATTTGTCATGACTCAAAAATTGTCTCAGTGTGGTGGTCATAAGAGAATTAGCCTAATGGTGGTCTGGATTATCTCTTGGATCTATTACCTATATCATGTCTTCCATTAGAATTTATATATTGTTCCTTATAGTTTGCTCTCCTAGAAAGGTAATTAATAATACAAGACTTATTTTTCTCATCCAGAATTTTCTCTTCTGCTATGCCTAAAACTTTATACTGAACCACTGAGAACTTACGTCTGTCGTATTTTAAAGAACAGAGTTGTAAAATGTTTCTAAAATAGAGATATAGATGTTATTACCTTAGAAAAATGCTAGATACATTGCAACATTAAGGTGTATATAAATTCTGGTAAATAATAGCCTTCTTCATTTTTCATTTGACTAACTTACCTCTTTTTTTTTTTTTTTTTTTTAAGAGACAGGGTCTTGTTCTGTTGCCTAGGCCCGAGTATAGTGGTGCGATTTACTGTAATCTTAGACTCCTGGGCTCAAGCAGTACTGCCTCAGCTCCTTATGTACCTGGGACTACAGGGCTTTCACCACCGTGATGGCTAATTTTTTAAAATTAGTTTTTGTATAGATGGGGTATTGTTGTCCAGTCTGGTCTCAAACTCCTGGGCTCAAGTGATCATCCTGCCTCGGCCTCCCAAAGTGCTGGGATTACAGGCATGGGCCACTGTGCCCTGCAGTAAAAACTTTTTTTGAAATAGCTTTAGACTCATAAAAAGTTGTAAGAATATTACAGAGTTCCTGTTTACCTGTCACTCAGTTATTTCCCAAAGATAACACTTTATTTAACAATAATATTTTAAGGCCGGGCGCAGTGGCTCAAGCCTGTAATCCCAGCACTTTGGGAGGCCGAGACGGGCGGATCACTAGGTTAGGAGATCGAGACCATCCTGGCTAACACGGTGAAACCCCGTCCCTACTAAAAAATACAAAAAAAAACTAGCCGGGCGAGGTGGTGGGCGCCTGTAGTCCCAGCTACTCGGGAGGCTGAAGCAGGAGAATGGCGTAAACCCGGGAGGCGGAGCTTGCAGTGAGCTGAGATCCGGCCACTGCACTCCAGCCTGGGCGACAGAGCCAGACTCCGTCTCAAAATAATAATAATAATAATAATATTTTATGAAAACAATTAACTTTGGTGTACTACTCTTAACTACAGACCTAACTTGTATTTTACCAATTTTATGTCTTATTTTAATTCATAAACTTTAAAACATCTTTATTTTTTAAGAGCAGTTTTAGGTTCATAGCAAAATTGAGCAGAAGGTAAAACATCTCATATACTCACTGTTCCTCCTTTGCCCTCCAGAGCCATCCCTACTATCGGCATTTCCCTCTGTACTTGGTACATTTGTTGCAATTAATGAACCTACATGAACATATTACCCAAAGTCCATGTTTTACATTAGGGTTCATTCTTGGTGTTATACATTCTGTGGGTTTAGACAAACTTATGATATTTATCTGCCATTGTTTTTACTGCCCTAAAAATCCCCTGTTCTGCCTGTTCATCCCCATCATCGCTGCCAAGTAATCATTTTACTATATTCATAGTTTTGCATTTTTTAGAATGTCACCTGCTTGGAATCATACAGTATGTAGCTTTTTCATATTGGCTTCATTCACTTTTCACTTAGTAATACATATTTAAGTTTCCTCCATGTCTTTTCATGGCTTGATTGCTCATATATTTTTAGTGCTGAATAATATTCCATCATCTGATGTAAAACAGTTACCCACAAACCTAGTGGAGGATGTTTTGATTGTTCCAAGGTTTTGGCAATTATGAATAAAGCTATAAACATCCATGTGCAGGTTTTTGTGTAGACTAAGTTTTCAACTTCTTTGGGTAAATATCAAGGAGAGCGTTGTAGGATTGCATGGTAAGAATATATTCAATTTTATAAGAGATGGCCAAATGGTATTTGAAAGTGGGTATGTGCCATTTTGTATTCCCACCAGCAATGAAAGTACCCATTGTTTCTCACCCACTTCAGCATTTGGTAGTGTTACTGTTTTGGAGTTTGGTCACTCTTGTAGATCTGTAGTGGTATCTTGTTTTACTTTTGATTCCCTAATGATATGATGTTGAACATCTTTTCACATACTTGCCATCTGTTTATCTTCTTTGGCGAGGTTCTGTTTGTGTTTTGGGGCTCATTTTCTTATTGTTGAGTTATGAGTTCTTTGTATGTTTTGAATGACAGTCCTTTTTCAAGCCTCTTGAAAGTATTTTTTCCCAGTCTGTGACTTGTCTTACTCCATTGGCATTGTCTTTCATAGAGCACAAGTGTTTTATTTTAATGAAGTCCAGTTTTATCAGTTATTTCCTTCATGGATAGTGCCTTTGATGTTGTAGCTAAAAAGTCATTGTTCTGCAAGGTCATCTAGTTATCTTCTAGGAATTTTATAGTTTTGCATTTTAAATTTAGGTCTATTATCTATTTTGAGTTAATTTTTTATGAAGGGTGTAAGATCTGTGTCTAGATTTATTTCTTTGCATGTAGATGTCTACAAAGATTGTTGACCATTCTACAGTCTTTGTTGAAAAGATTGTCTTTTCTCTGTTATATTACTTTTACTCCTTTGTTGAGTATCAGTTGACTATATTTATGTAGGTCTATTTCTGAGCTTTCTATTCCGTTCCATTGGCCTATTTAGTGTTCTTTTGCCAATGCCACACTGTCTTGATTATGTAGCTTTATAATAAATCTTGAAGTCAGGTAGAGTCAGTCCTCCAACTTCGTTCTTCTTTAACATTGAGTTGGCCATTCTGAGACCTCTGTCTTTCCATATAAACCTAGTTTTTAGTTTTTATTATTTTTTTGAGATGGTTTCTCAACCTGTCTCCCAGGCTGGAGCACAGTGATGCCATCACAGCTCAGTGAAGCCATCACAGCTCAGTGAAGCCTTTAATTCATGGGTTCAAGCGATCCTCCCACCCCAGCCTCTCGAGTAGCTGGGTCTATAGGCACATGCCACTATGCCCAGCTAATTTAAAATTTTTTTTTGTAGAGATGGGATCTCACTACATTACCCAGGCTGGTCTTAAACTCCTGAGCTCAAGCAATCTTCCCACCTTGGCCTCTCAAAGTTTTGGGATTACAGGCATGAGCCACCATGCCTGGCCCTTTCCATATAAACTTCAGAATCAGTTTGTCAATATCTACAAAATAACTTCATGGGATTGGTTGAGATTGTGTTGAATTTGTAGATCAAGTTGTGGAGAACTGAACATCTTGACAATGTTGATTCTTCCTATTTATGAACACAGAATATCTCTCTATTTAGTTGTCATCTTTCATCAAAGTTTTGTAGTTTACTTCATATAGATCTTGTACATGTGTTGTAAGAGTCACAGCTAAGTATTTCATTTTTAGGAGTGATACTGTAAATTGTAATGTTTTATATTTCAAAATCTACCTCTTTATTGCTGGTTTATAGGAAAGCAATTGATGTTGGAAATTAACTTTGTATCCTGCCACTTTGCTATATCACTTATTAGTTCTGGGAGTTTTTTTGTGATTATTTCAGATTTTCTACATAGACTATTATGTCCTCTATGAAGAGAGAGAATTTGATATATTTCTTCCTGTCTAATCTTTATACCTTTTATTTCCTTTTCTTGTTTTATTACATTAGCTAGAACTTACAGTATGATGCTGAAAAGCAGTGGTGAGGGTAGACATCCTTGCCTTCTTTCTAATCTTAGTGGTAAAACTTTGGGTTCCTCACCATAAATATAATGTTAGCTGTAGGTTTTTAGAGATGTTCTTTTCAAGGTGAGGAAATTGCCCCTCTATTCCTAGTCTGCTGAGTTTTTATCATGAATGATTTTTGATTTTGTTAATGCTTTTTCAGTATCAGTGTGATTTTGATTTTTTTCTTTAGCCTGCTATTGTAATGGATTACATTAATTGATTTTTGAATCTTAACCCAGGGTTGCATACTGATATGATTTGGCTATGTTTCCACCCAAATCTTGTCTTGAATTGTAGTTTCTATAATCCCCATGTGTTGTGGGAGGGGCCAGGTGGAGACAACTGAATCATGGGGATGGTTTTCCCCATCCTGTCCTCGTGATAGTGAGTTAGTTCTCGTGAGATCTGATGGTTTCGTAAGAGGCTTGCCCTTCACTGGTCACTCATTTTTCTTCTCCCTGCCACCATGTGAAGAAGGACATGTTTGCTTCCCCTTCTGGCATGATTATAAGTTTCCTGAGGCCTCACTGGCCATGCTGAACTATAAGTCAATTAAACCTCTTTCCGTTATAAATTACCCATTTTCTGGCAGTTTTTTTTTTTTTTTGACCATCCTGGCTGACACAGTGAAACCCCGTCCTACTAAAAATACAAAAACTTAGCCGGGAGAGGTGGCAGGCACCTGTAGACCCAGCTACTCGGGAGGCTGAGGCAGGAGAATGGCGTGAACCCGGGAGGCGGAGCTTGCAGTGAGCTGAGATCGGGCCACTGCACTCCAGCCTGGGTGACAGAGCGAGACTCCGTCTCAAAAAAAAAAAAAAAAAAAAAAATCTCTCAAGAGTCTGGGCGCAGTAGTTCATGCCTGCAATCCCAGCACTTTGGTAGGTCAAGTGGGCAGATTGCCTGAAGTCAGGAGTTCAAAACCAGCCTGACCACATGGTGAACCCCATTTCTAGCTAAAAAT